TACAGTGACGTCAACGCCAAAGAGCTCGGCAAAGAAAGGACCTGAAAACAAAAAAAAAAAAAAAAAAAAAAAGAAGGAGGATAAGAGCCCCGAGCCCTCTTAGAATTTGTTACAAGGGAGAAGTAACTTGGGGAACAATCAAAACAAAAATCTCCAACAAAATCAAGCAAATATCATGTGCACCCTCAGGCCTGTGTCAAGGAAGACCGCAGACAGAGAAAAAGAGGCGGTCGTACACAATTTCTTCACCAGATCAAACTCTCCAACAAAAAGAAGAAGATCGTTCACAAGGGCTCCAACCATAAAAGACTCAAAGACAGATGTCAAATCTCCCGATGTCAAGAAGTCAGTTTGTCGCTTCCCATATTCTGCTCGAGTTCGTCGACTCTGCTTGAGCTCGTCAGCTCGGCATCTGCAAAAAACGAGATCCCACAGCCTACGGTTTAACTTGTTCGCTCATGAATAAGTTCTAAGTCAATAACAAGTTCAAACCCATATGGAGAACGGTTGCTCAGATCGTGATTTAAGTCTTCAAAAAGGCGGCTCACGAACTCATTTTGAACTTATCAGACATCAAGCTCAACATAAACAAACAAGAAGAATTAAAAGCAGCTCGCAAGATTGGCAATTTGTGGAAAACATCAGTCACGGTTCGTTTGTTAAAAAAAAAAGAGAGGAGTAGGGGCTATGGGATACCTCACTCTGAGTTCCATCGTCCGCCATCGTCGCAACACCACGCCCACAGCTCTGTCTCAGATCATCCTAACTCAAAGAGCAGTTCACAATCTCACCATGAACTCATCGAGAGATGAAAAGATCTGATTGGAATTTCTGCAATTTGCTGTTTCGAAAACTCAGCTCTACCCAGAACCAGAATCAGCACTGCGCGAAAAATCAATTTCACTCCGAGCTTCGACGTTATCTCTGCTTTCCGATCATATCACGTCCATCGCTTCGAGCTTCCCAAAGCTCCGCCATCGTCGCCACTATTCACCATCCTGCATCTTCCGGTGAATTACTACTTTTCCGACCAGAGCCGTCTCATCTGTCTGCTTCGACGCCCACAAAAAAATCCCCCGAGATCTTCTCCTCTTTCTCACTTCAGCAACCATGGCGAAGAACACAGGCTGCCTCCGATTCTCGATTTCGCAGAGTAATCCACGCACATTGCTCCATCACCGAACTCAAGAGATTTCATTCTAGGCTCGGAAAACTTCAGAGATTGCAACAATTCCCAAGTTTCAATACATGATGACATCCCAGAAATACTTCACTGAGATTAAGAAGATTTATTCCAGCCGATACCATCACCATCTCAGCTCGCCGCACGGCTTCACCAGCTCTTTACCAGAATCTAAAAACCAATCTTCGCTCTAACAAGGGTTGAACATCAAAGAGCCGAGCTCCACAATCCCACACCAAAAGCTAAGTATCATTTTATCTGCTAAAGTACTATGATCCAAAATCTAAGAAAAATGTCTTCACAAGCCTTCATTACTATGTCGCAGGATTACAAAAGTATCAGCTCCGGCTAGGACGATTTGGTGCACGAATGCCATTATAACAACATATAGTCAAGAATCTGTTTGCTTTGACAAGGCTATAAGCAGACAACCGCATGGAGCTCTCCATAGAAGGATACTCACCGAACTCATTCCAATTTTGTTTTCACCGATCTCGTTCCCCTTCCGCTCACATCCAAAGTTACTTACCAATCTCTCAAAGCTATACTTAGCTCGTCAAACTGAGCTCCTCGAAACCCAGGTATCATTTATCGAGATCTTTGTCTTATTCAAAAATATTCTCCATTCTGCTAAGTTACAGGGTCCGTCCCTCAAGTCAAGCCGAACTTCTGTTCGCAAAAAAGAAAGAAAAAGAGAACGCTTCTCTAAAGCTTTCCATAGATGAGCTCCGAGCTTCCACGAAAACTCATGCTTCTCCAAAGCTGTTTCTAAAAACGAGCTCCGAGCTCCCACTTAAGCTCACATTTCAACACATTTCCGAACAAAACTATTATTGACATGATCGTCAGTTTGAGTTCGTCGGTTTCAGTTCAGATTTGACAGCTTTGGTTCGTCGGTTTTTATTCAGAATTTCAGAATCTCAGTTTTGGTTCAGAGTTTTAGTTCGACTCAGAACTTCAGCACCTCATATTCAGTCCACAGATAAGATTTTGTTCAGAAATTCAGTTCGTCAGAGTGGTTCAGTTTTTCAGCTCGACAGATTCAGTCTGTTACCCTTAACCCGTCAGCCTGAATTTTCAAACCGATCATCTGCAAAATACATTTCTACCGAGCTACACTACGCTCATCTATATTTTCAAGCTTGTCAACCGAGCTCCTTTGAAATTTAGGGTCCGTCCCTCCAAGCCGAACTGACATGTTCGCAGTCCCAACCGAACTCATCGGTATTACATCGACTTCCTGGCCAGTTGTTCGATAGCATTTCTCAACAATGCAACCTTAAAAAGCCGAGATCCGTCTCGCAAGCGTCCACATGGCGCCGTGGTGAAAGAATCCACAATTTTTAAAGCCGGGGCCAGTCCCGCATTACTTATTCCTAAGTCACCGAGAATAATAAGCCGAGCCCATCTCGCACACTCTGGTTCGACTTAGGAAACCTTGAGTCCGTATCGTGTGTTTACAAGAGTTCGAACTTCACTCTTCCAGCACGAGAAAGCTCACTTGGGTCCCCCAGGCCGAGTTTATTTAACTCGCACAAATTAAGCCGAACACCTCAGATTCGCACCGTAAGCCGAGTTCACAACACTCGCAAATGTAAGCCGAATTATCGCAATTCGCAATAGACTAAGTCGAAACTCATATAAGCCGAGCTAACAGCTTCACAAGAATCCACCAATCTCAGTTCACACCAGACTAAAAGTACTTACGAAATCCGCCGAACTCTTACATATACTCTTTCGCCGGACTGAGGGGGGGCTTACTGTTGGTGGTGTACTCCGCACCCCCGGTTTAGCCCGGTATGAACTAAGATTGGCCCAATTAATCCCGATTTATGATGGTTCACCCGCAGAATATTTCCTGATCTTATTCGGAAATAGGAAATATTCTCAGAAGATAATTCCTCAAGGAAAAAGGAAGTTGTTCTTATCTGCTCCAAGAAATAAGGAAATCTGCATTATCAAGTCAAGAAGGAAAAGGAAAATCGACTGGCTTCAACCTCTATAAATAAAGAGCTCCTCGTTCATTCAAGAGAGATTCACAACTCTGCAGAAGACATAGAATACATCTTTTTCTTATTCTTTCTGTAATATGAACTATGAATGGCTTGATCCCTCTTTTGGGTACGCAGGCAGCTCATATTGAGTTCAGCTATAACTTTAATAAAATCTCTAAATTCTTTGTGTGATACTCGGTATCAACAATACACTAAAACTAATTTCTAAAATAATATTTAAAATATTATAATCCCGCGTATTACACAGATTAATTCTTAGTTCTATGTATTTTATTTCTCTATAAACCTATATATTCTGTATCTTAATTCTTACAAGTGTTTAAAAATAACTTTATTTAAATGTCTTTGTGTTCTTACTCTCCTCAATTTATCACGAGCAAATGCTTTTGGGATAATATTGATGAAATGGCATGTGATTTAGTTTATTAGGTAATCAACATATTGAACACATATAGACATAAGATTATGGACGTAAGAAATGTAACAGTAATGTGGTTTCGGCGTATGCACTTGCCTCTCTGATAAAAAAAAATTGTACATGTACAAGATCATCATCACTTCCTTGAAGGGGAAAAAGTGTGAATTTGTTCAAGTAGCGATAGAAAAAAGCTTCAAGTAGAGCAAGCGTCGTTGATAGAGTTAGTGCTTACTGTGGAAACGTTTGAGATCAAACCTTAAACTTCGCTAACTAAGGAAACTTTGAGATCAAAATCACGAACAAGAAATGTTTGAGATCAAAATCGCAAAGTGGAAGTTTCAAGGGACTCAAAAACGTGGTGGAAAAGTTTCGAGACTTTTCAAATCATTTTTATCATTTTGAAATTGAGTGAGGGCAAAATATAGTGTTTTTGTTTTTTTAATTTATGAGAGGATAATTTTAAATTTCAAATCATAAATCTCCCTTTACTAAACTAAAAATTTCTAACCTTAATAAAATGATGTGTTTCTTCAACTCTAATTGAGTTTTTAAAGTTTTTTTTTTCTCAGTTTCATTTAAGTATTTGAGCATTTTTGCTAAAATTGGCAACAATGGTCATAAAACTATAATTGAAGAAGCTTTTTTTTTGTAATTGATGATTTTAACAAAAGCATACATCATGTATAAATTTTGTTTATCGTTGTAGAATATACCAAGTTATATTAAAACATAACATGTTAAATAAATACTGAATGTCAAAGAACAATCATGAAATTTGCCAAAATAGATTGTAAAGTTTTTTTACAATTAAAATCCAAATCATAGTTTATTTGCACAGTTTCGGGTATAGCAAGATTATTTACTGGTATAAACGTTAGGTACATGATTTGAATAATGTGTGTTGACAAATTTGTTTTTTTTTTCAACGACAAATTTGGATTTATTTTCATACTTTTGACTCTCTCTTTGTGGTCTCTTTTTATACCTTTGACTCAAATTGCAGAACCAATTGTAGATTAGTGAAAGGTAGAGCAAATTGTCAAAGATAGATCGGAAATCTCTCCCCAACTTTATGGACAGCACTCAACTAACCCATTTTCCCTTCTTTATAATTTTATCAGTTTATTAGTGACCCCAGAGGCACCACCTTAGGCTCCATAATCATATTTTAAAATCTTTATATATTGTGGCTCCACGCACTATTGTGGGTCGAAATGATTTGGTAGCAATAGGAGGACCGAGGACCAACTTAAATTTATAAAAATAGATAAAGTAATCTAGGGACTTCCACATTTCGATATCGATAATGCGTTTTAGTATATATATAAACGAACATATATGATCATAATTAAAGGAACACTAAAGAGTGAAGAAGCATTTTACGAATACAAGAATGGCCGTGAAGCTCATTTACCTCTTTCTCTTCGTTTACATTGCTCTTCTAATTTCAGGTATGTTTATTTAGTTGTATAATCCATGGAAAATGTTACTTTCTTTCTGGTTAAAATCTTATCTTCTTTTTCTTTTTATTTTGAGAGAAGTACCAACTTTCTTTGAAAATGTTATGGTACAGAGGGGAATGCTACTAAAGCGGGTATGGCCACTAAGGAAGCCACCGAGAGAGGACGGGATGGGAAGAATGGTCGGACCGAATGGCTATACGTAGCAGGAGAATGTGCAAAATTACCACGTTGCAACAAATATTGTGTTTCCAACGGATTTCGTCTTGGTGGGTTTTGTAAGAAATTGTCTCCTCAATCTTCTTCTCTTTCTTGTGTTTGTAAATATACCTAAATTTCAGCAAGTTTTACCAATAAGTTTCCTTTTGTTGTTGTTGTTGTTGTTGTTGTTGTTGGGAGAGATAATTAAGTGTTGCTGAGAAGTTAAGTCTAGGTGGTCCGTTCTACATGTTTATTAGGTTTTGAATATCAATTCGAAGTTGTTACTCTTGTATTTCTTTGTTGTTTGAGAATTTCGGTTTTAGAAAATATGAGCAGTATCCCTTAAATTAATTATATATCATGATACGGAACTTTGAATTGATTTTAGAGATTTGTGAGTTACATCAACTAGTTCATTCAATCTGCACGTAACTGGCTCAATTTCATATAAGAATTCTGAAAGCTTTGATGACCTACACTGTCTGCAAGTTTTGCAAACCGACTTCAAACTATCTTTGAAGTTTTAAGAAGCAAACATACCTCTATTGGTTTAACGGAGAATAATTGGCAATACTCTATTTAGGTTTTTTTAATTCAGTAAATATACTGTGTTAATTTTTTTTTGAAAACTACACTTAAAAAGACTTTTTGATCAAAGTTAATTAGTAATTATATATTTTAATAAGAGAACCTAGGAACTCTGGAATTATATAAAAAAAATATTATTATTAAAAATAACTAAATATTAAGTATTTTGAATTTCTAATTAGATAAATCTTTGAAATTTTTTTTTTCATGAGAGCTTCCATAAAGATGATACATAAATACTTTTATCAACAATTCAGTTTTCTAAAACAAAATACAGAGCAAAAAGTGTGTATACAGAGATGATACATCAATGCTTTCATCAACAATTAAGTTTCCTAAAAAAACGAAAAGAAAATAGAAAAACAGAGCTTCCTTCGACTCCTAATACTCTCTCTCTAGTCCTTCTCGCTATTTTAATGCCTATTGTATATGTTGATCAACATAGATATGTATAATTATTCAACTATGTTGATCAACATATGTCTGTATATATTGATCCATGGATTTGTTTTTTTTTATTTTTATTTTGCAGTAGATGATTCGCTAACAAAATTGATTTTGTTATCATTCATATGTATCATGTTTTAACATGGAGTACAAGCTTCACAAAGAAAGTAATGGAAAAAGAAATGAATCAGTAAATTTTGAAAAAAAAAACACAGTAATAAAAGCTTTCATGCATGACCTACTAAACAGTTTTCAATTATCTTATCTTCGCACCTTGTTTTAGCTATATACTTTATTTTTTACCCAAAATAGAAAGTTTTTGAACATAAAACTTCATTAACTTTCGTGACGCCGTGGTTCCACCCCAGACTTCTTGTCGGAGGGTCCGCCTCAAACCGCCAGTAAGCCTCCCTTCATCCTCCCTCCAGCTGAGAAGATTCACACAACAAAAAGGGCCTTCTTCATGTAACTTTTACCCCCTTTATACGGAAAACATCTTTACAATTCTTCTCTCGAAAATCTACAAGCAACGAACACTCAAAAATGGCTCGACGATACTCATACTCAGAAAACAGAAAGGAAATAAGGAACTCACAGTCTCCATCACGCCTCAAACGAATCAGAGCTCCAGAACTGGATACTACAGACCTCATCTAGGAAAACTCTCTCACTCTCATAGGTCGGCTTACAAATCCTATGGAACAACGACTTTGGGTCATGATACCCTTCATCTCCACGCGTTTGGATCTAAAAGGAAAAGTCATATGGTCAGAGGGAAACAACTGCTTTCAGTTTAGATTTGACTATGAAATAGCTTTGATACAGGTTTTGGAAACTGAACTTCCCACTTTGCCAACTGGATGAACATCCTCCAATGCTGGGAGCCCATTATATCCCTGAATTCCCATAAAAAATACCCTTCTGGATCTGTCTGAAAGGAATACCTCTCCACTACTGGAAAAATGGTTCACAACATTGCCAAGGAGATTGGTGAACTCTAAAACTGTGAACTCACCAAAACATCAGCTCGGATTCAAGTAGGAATCAATGGTCTCGAAGCCCTCACAAAAGAACGATCATGGAATTCACCGGAGGCACGGAGGCTATAGTCACACTCAAATATGAAAGACTGAAATCACAATGCTCCTTCTGCTATAATATTACCCACCTGGTGAGCTGTTGTTCATGCAAATCCACCACCAAACTATTGAGGAACGACATCATAATAATTCTCCTGGGAAAGACTTACCTATGAATCCAGGAACACAGGACAAAGAGTTTAGCCAGAGGGTGACAAGATCATAGAAGAGCTGGGAGAAGTTACAATCCAATAAATCAATTGTGGAGACCCGGCGGTGGGTGCATCTAGACGTCAAAGGGTTATTGAGGGTGAAGCTAGAGGCTTAAAGGCGGAAACTGCAGTATTCATACTAGCCTCCTCTCCAAATAACCTGCAAAACACTCCTCCCTATACCTAACAGAGGCGAAACCTCATGAATGAGGGATAAATCCCAAGATCATGTCACATCACCCTTCAATGAAACTGATCAGATGCTGGAGGAATAACCATCAAAGAAGAAACATGGCCGACCACCCTCACAAAAGAATGCTAAACAAAGCAATGGAAAAAAATCACACAACCAAGTCAGGATATCACTTCTTTCAAAAGTAGTGCTTAATAGAAGATTCCCATCTTCTCATCAGCAAGGAGCTAGACGCTCTACTTCTACGTCGTATCTGAATGAATGCCAGGCAAGTGACTTCTTCTAGTCCACAAGCTCCAGCGGCTCCTCATGATCCTCAAGTTGCACAAAGAAATCCACTAAGAATTAGCATCATCACTGCTAGCTCTAGGGAGAAGGCGGATTTTCAGAATTCGTCAAACCCTCTTCCTTAGCAATACTGAGCTGAAACTGTTGTGGTTTGAAAAATCCCATAACAATTCCATATTAAAGGAGATACACCTAAAAAGTGCTTTAGACATAATTTTCCTGATGTAGACTAAGATTGGAGAAGATTTCATCAATAGACAACTTGACTTCTTGACTTCTTCCCTTCTGAGTCCTCCCACTTCGTCCAGCCCCACAGTCCAGGAGGAGGTGGACTAGCTTAATTCTGGATAAAAGACATCAAATTAACTATCCGATCAGCGTGCAACAACTTCATGGACTCAATAATATTTTATAAGGGTGAACCTTTTGATGCTATCTTTGTGTACGGGAAACCCGATCAATCAAAACAGAGGGATATATAGAATAGACTATCTGATTTGGCATCTTCGAGAGATACTCCCTGGTTTTTGACCGGCGACTTCAATGAAAAAGTAGACAATTCTGAAAACTTGGTGGATCGGTTCGAGCTGAAAGATCTTTTGGAGACTTCAGAACCTTCTTCTCACAGTGTGATTTGTTTGACATTCACCATATAGGTAACTAATTATCCTGGAGAGGATTCCGCAACACACATCTTATTCATAGCCGACTAGACCGCTCACTCTCTAATAGTCTATGGGCTGAAAGTCTGAAACCTTCCCCTCCGGTCGATGGAAATACCTACAACTTGAAGGATCTGATCATTGACCTATTGTAACCTTCTTCAAACTATCTGCAAGGAAAAGAAGATACCTGTTCACATATGGTATACGAATGCAGAACAACTCAGAAAGCAAAATACTAGTTGCTCAATATTGGAATGATAACCCATCAGCACCTGTGGAACAGAAAATTTCCCAATGCCATGTGGCAATCTCCCACTGGAACAAAGAGCATCACAAGGATAGTCAGAAACTTATTGAAGAAGAAGACATCACCTGGAAAAAGTTATGGCTTCAAGCTCCTGATGAATCACTTATATGATACATAAAACAGAGACTTAAAAGTGCTTACAATGCAGAAAAAGAGTATTGGAAGCAAAGAAGTAGATCTCTCTGGTTGGCCCTTTGTGACAAGAACTTGTTGTATTTCCATGCTATCACAAGAGGAAGGAGAACAATTAACAAATTCTCCATCATTGAGGATAAAAATGGCAAACCAGTTTACAAGGAAGAGTAAATTAGCCTCGTCATAACTGACTTTCAAGACCTCTTCATCAAGAAAACTGGTTCCCGTACTGAAACGGTTGCGAAAGCCTTATCTCCATGCATCTCTCCGAAGGATAATATTTGGCTCATCGCTGATCCGACACCTGAAGAAATCAAAATAACCTTATTCTCAATCCATCAAGATAAAGCACCTGGACCTGATCGATTCTCAGCAAGTTTTTTCAAGACAAATTGGTATATTGTGGGGAAGAAAATAACAGAAAATATTAAGGAAATACTTACAGCTGGTGTTTTTCCTGACTCTTGAAACACAAATCATGTCCGACTCATTCCAAAAATCCAAAATCCAAAAGACGTTGCTGACTATAGATCCATTGCCTTGTGCAATGTGCTATAAGATAACCTCTAAGCTTCTGACTCCACACCTACAGCCACTACTATCCAAGCATATCTCGTAAACACAATCTGCCTTTGTTCTTGGCTGAGAAATTGCTGATAACGTCTTGATAACCCATGAGACTTTCCATTTTTTAAAAGATCAAAATCTACAAAAACATTGCTCAATGGCAATTAAGACTAACATGAGCAAAGCTTATGATAGATGATAATACCGTATTTTGACCACTTTTATGGATCGTTTTGAAATACTTTTTCTATGTTTTTAAATGCTTTTAAGTACTTTTATTACGTTTTTCTAGTATTTGTAGTTCCAAGACTCTTTTCAGGAAACTTAAGGAAAAGCTTAACAAAATGGATAGAAGACCAGATTTTTAGCTCAGAAACAAACCGTTAGAAGTTCATCCCTGATTGAAGGCTTTCTTACCGTCCGATCCAGCTCAAATTTGAAGATCTCAAAGATGGAAGTATAAGCTTTCCAGCACACTTTACAGCTTGGCAATCCAATGGTTCAATCAAAAGATACGCGAAGAGCAAGATGTCTCGTAAACCAGCCGGCAAGCGTTTCCACCCGCGGCCAATAGGCCATTCCCCGCGGTCACAACCATCCGACCGCGGCCAGCCACCCATTCACCGCTGTCAAGTACATCCCAACTGCGGCCAGCTAACTACGAGTTTGAAGGCCCATTTCTGAAGCCCGTATCATTTTCCCAGCCTCAATTCCGGAACCCTAGACACGAGAGAGTATTGGAGACTATAAAACATATC